GGGCAGGAGGCCCAGAGACAGCCAGCGGTGCAAGCGGGGAACAGCCCAGCCGGAGGGAGAAAGACCAAGAACTGCGGTCAGTTTCTCAGAAAGCCACGGTCAGCCGGCCACAATACCTACTCCCGGGTGTGCCGGGGGTTAAAGAAATGTGTACAAGGAGCATGCACAGGGCTCAGTATGTGGTAAATAATGCTATGGGGTCAGAGCCTCCCGGGGGCAGGGTGAGCCTGGGTACCCTAGTGGGTTATTTGGGACCGGAGGACCTGCCCTTGCCAGCCTCTGCTCCTACTGTGGGGTGTGCACACCTTACACAGAAGCCTCGCGGCTATGACGGTGCCCACAGCTCATTGGCAGGTCACCCCATCCCGTCGCCCGCCATGCCACCCCCGCCACCTGCAGGTCCCTGGCCTGAGAGACCACTTTGCCGTCCTCAGACACCAGCCCACGCAGCCCCACTGGCAGACTTAACCCGGGAGAGGTGGTGCAAAGGGTGGGCGTGGAGCTGGGCCGCCCTGGGGTTGAGTCCTGGCCCTGCCCTTGTCTACCAGATGCTGTCTGAACCCTTTCTCCTGCCGTGAGAGGGGCTGGAGCCTGGAGGACGTTCCCTCAGGCAGAACAATTGCATTGTTAATACTCCCCGTTCTCATTCAAACCCTCCCGGCAGGCCCAGGTCAGCACACCCGCTTCAGGCAGCTCTCCCAGCTCACCCCCTCCCTGATCTCCCTTCCTTCAAACTCTACCGTGGGACCAGCTCCTCAGAGGCACGAGGGATCAGCAGAGCAGCTACCACACTCTGTCTTAAATATACACGGAGCAGCATCACGCCTGTGCAGGAACTTCTCTTCCACCCCTTCTAGCCCCTTCTCCTCCTCCACACTCAGCCCAAGTCACCTCCTCCATGAAGTCCTCCTGGACCTGGGCACAGCTGCCCCCACGGTTCTGCTGCAGCCTGACATGCCCTGTACACCAGCTCATTTCACTGCTAGTTCCCATACAAGACTGTAGGTCCCTCGAGGATGGGGTGCAGCTGAGTCCTCCCTGAACCCTCAGGACACAGTCATTCTTTGTAATGTCCACTGAGCAAGTGTGGAACCAGAGGAGGTGCTCAGCGAAGGTGTGCTGGGTGAGTGAACCTGAAGGCTGAGGCCAGGCACCCATCGCTACTAATGACAAACTGGGGCCCCGAACCCAGGTTTCTTGGCTCTGAGCCTTTGCCAAAACATACACATACACACACACACACACACACACACGCACGCACACGTGTGTGCACACACGTACGCACACGCACACACATGCATGCACACGCACACACACCATGTAGCCTGCGCTGCCCAGCATGGTAGCCTCCAGCCACAGGTCGCTCTTGAGCACTTGAAATGCGGCAAGTCCGAGCTTGGGGGGCGGGGGGGGCTGTCAGTGTAAACTACACACCGATCTTAAAGTCTTAGTAAAATGTCCCGTTAATACATTTTATATTGGTTATGTGTTGAAATTATAATGTATGACATTGAGTTCAATAAAAGTCGTATTAAAATGGATTTCACCTGTTTAGAGTGTGTTTTAACGTGGCCTCTCGAGAACCTGATCTCACACCCGTGGCTCACACAGTGCAGCTCACTGGGCACCCTCAGTCTCCCTGTGAAGCTGTGATGTTTTGAGGGCAAAGACTGTGTCCCATTCTCTGCAGAATTTCAAGCGCCTGCTATGACTCAGGCGCTGGGGACCCTGAACAAGACCAGCCTGGCGGGCGACACAGACAGACATGGGCACACACCGACTCCGACCCTGAGCAGGTCCAGTGACAGCGGCTGTCGGGCATTCAGGGCACCGGGGGGGTGGGCAGCTGCCCCCCTCTTCCAGTCCCCC